AGGCAGCAGCGGATCGCGACGCACGCCCCCTTCCCCTCCGCCGGCAACTCCACAACAGCCACTTTGGGCAGTTTCCTCTATGCAGATAGACTCTGCCAGAAAAGGAGCCGGGACCCACCCAGGGGAGGAGCGGCCCGGCCAGCCCTGTCCCTGAGCTGTCCCGGGCGCCGGGCTGCACCCACTCCCGCGCGGGCACCTCTGCGACCCCCCAGTATGAGTTCCCACTGCGATCCCAAGATGTCTGAGATGCGCCCAGAGACTCAGAGCGCCTTCTGCAGCTCACCCCTGGCTGGAGCATTATTCATGCCTGGCGAATATTCCCCTAAACTTGTGTATTAACCTTTCTGACAATTTTTTAAAAGCTCAAAACTTCAAACCCTGTGGAAAACTTAGCGAGTCCGTCCTAGATGGCGCCTTAGCGCCGCTTGGTGGCCGAAAGTGATCGCAGCGCGCTCACAGACACAGGGTGGAGATTGCGCCAAGCAGAAAGAATCTTAATCTTAGAATCTTCAATTCTCTACATTTATTATGTGCCAGGCATGTGGTGCTGGAAACAAACATTGTAAGACGTTGTCCCTGACAAGGCCTTTCAAAATGACTTGTAAGCCCTCCTAGAGAGGGCTTCCATTTGAGAAAATTGAAAGTAAAAATGGAAAAGATGGAGAAAAAGAACTCCAACTTTTATTGAGCTGATGGTTTATCTGTAGTGGAAACACAACTTGGCCAAAGCAACAATCAGTATGGACATTTAATCTATACTGTGATTTTGCTGCAGATTTACATCACAAGTTACGTTAGGAAAGCCTGAATGATAAGTGGCCCTAACAGTGTTTTCAAGAAAGAGACTAAAGGCTGTAAGTCAGGTGGGATTCCTGCTCCCTCAGATTCCTACCAGCCATATTTATATCATAAAATGGGTCCCAAGTAACTCTTCCACAAACTCCTCTAATACTCAAATAAAAATAATAAACTGCTAGCTTAGATCTTTGTGATTTGGGTAACTCCACAACTGATTTTGAGAAAAAGACCGGTTATATCTGTCTTCCCTCTCACTCTCTGGGTATTTTTAGATTATTTCTGTGGATAGATTACTTACCTTTTAAAATTGTTAGGTGAATTGGGGTTATGTTTAGGTGGTTATAGATAGGTTTTGGCGCCATGCCATAATCTAGTGTAGACCCAATAAATAGTCTGAAACATAATTGCTAAGCAAACTAGATTGTCTACTCTGAAGAGGCCAACACCATATTACATGCTAGCACTTTATTCTTACTTCCAAATGCACAGGTAAATTACCCAATACTACTTAATGTTACTGCACTATGTTCACTACATTCCAGAAGCTTCTGCATATCAAGCCAAGCTCATTATCTGGAATATCCTGCTCTCAGATATTTGACAAAGCTCTTCCTTATCCTTAGTTCAAAGTCCCCGGGTCTTCAAATCCTACTGCCTCCAAAAGACCATCCTGGACTGCTCAATCAAATGTGGCTACACCTGATTCCTCTTCAGGGTTATTCAGTGGCTCAGGGCATTTATCACTATTTGAAGTTACCCTTTTTATTAACTGTATCCCCTTTGTCTTGTTCATCATTGTTTTCTCAAAGAACAGAACAGGATCTGGCACACTGTAGGTGCTCAGTAAGTATTTGTCAAGTGAATTAAGAAAAGGTGAAAATATGTTTACAAGGCATTTTAAGAGGCAAGGAAGAAAAACCTGTCTTATGTCTGCTAGGGTCCTGGAAAGAACAGACAGCTGAAGACAGTCTAAACATAGAGACTCTTTACAAAGTGGGGCAGACTAAGGGAAGCCAACAGGGGATGCTGATGAAGCACCCTGAGGTATCCACAGTGGGAGGCCACTACCGCGCCTAGCTGAAGGGCCGAGGGAAGTGAAGTGTTGTGGGAACTTTGTGATCTGCTAAACAGGAGCTGTGGCCTTTGGTCAAGGGATACGATTACTTCAAAACCATAGTTTGGGAAGTTGGGAGCTGGGATATAAATACTCCTCTCCTGCTTTCTGATCTGTTGACCTCGCACTGACCAAACCCACGGGATAAGCAAGCCCAGATTATGCAGTGCAGAGGTCAGCCCCCCAATGGCAGAGGAGAGCCCTGGGGATGAAGAACAGATCTGGAGAGGGGGGAAGAAACTCCACATTACCTAATGTGTATGTAGCACCTGCCAAGGTCAATCTGCCGTCTCTGAATGGCTAACCTGTCAGCAAGAGGCACTCATCTTCAGGGTGACCAGCAAACCACTTGGTGGGAAATTAACCACTCTGGACTTTCTCCATCCAGGAAAGTCCAGCAGTTTGCCAACACCTCACAAGGATGGGTAGCTATTTCAGGTGTGGGCTTGTCTTTCCTGTCTGCAGAGTTTCAGCTGGCACCACTATCCTTAGACAGCCTGATCCACAGGTATTAAGGCCCATACAATAGCACTCAACTAAGGGACTCACTATACAGCAAAGTAGCTGTGGGAGTGAGTCCATGACCATGAGATTCACTGGTTGTATTACATCCTGCAGCAGCCAGCCTCAGTATACTGGACTGTCTTTGAAAGCACATGTGAAGTGCCAACTCAGGGCATTAAGAGGCAAGATTCTAAAAATGCCATCTTTGCCTGGCCAGCGAAGCTCATCAACCAGGAGGTTACAGTTCCCGGTCAGGGCACATGCCCGGGATTCGGGCTTAATCCCACTGGGCAGTGTGCAGGAGGCAGCCGATCAATGATTCTCTCACCATTGATGTTTCTCTCTCTCCCTTCCTCTCTGAAATCAGTTAAAAAAATACACACACACATACACACACACACACACACACACACACACACACACACACACACAAAGGATGGAAAAAGATGTACTATGCTAATATTAAAATAAGACAAAAGACAATATCTATTTGTGCTCATTTCACATGGTTCCTATGGGACTAAAACCCAAAGTATAAAAATATAATTTGCAGACTGTAGAATTTTATATAAATCAATATAGGAAATAAACTGTGAAAACAATAGCTACTATATACCAGCACTTTATGTAAATTATTTCATTTAATCCTCACCACCACCCTTGGGAAGTTAGGTATTAGTATTCCAACTCATAGATGAGACTAGAGCAGGGGTGGGCAAACTTTTTGACTCGAGGGCCACAATGGGTTCTTAAACTGGACCCGAGGGCCGGAACAAAAGCATGGATGGAGTGTTTGTGTGAACTAATATAAATTCAAAGTAAACATCATTACATAAAAGGGTACTGTCTTTTTTTTTTTAGTTTTATTCATTTCAAACGGGCCGGATCCGGCCCGCGGGCCGTAGTTTGCCCACGGCTGGACTAGAGAATATGTATCTTGTCTACCTATAGAGGTAGTATCAAGGTTTGATTGCAATCTGACTCTGTAGGCAAGCATCTTCACACCAACATTACTCTGTGTACAATGATGAGGACAAAATAATTTAAATGTTTGTAATTTGAAAAATGTAAAGTAAAAAGAAATATTATTTAATATTAAACTCTATCAATGACACTTTAAGTATCATTTAGGACTGTTCTTGTCATTCATTCTCAAAACTGTACTTGCCATGTGCCAGCAGCTTTTAAAGTTAAAACACTGAACTTGCATTTTTTATTTATAATGGAAAACACTTTAAGTCACTGGGAATTCCTGCATATCTACAATTAATATTCAATTCAACTCATTGCATGGAACTGCTGGTCACAGTAGCTGAAAGAACTAGGCTTATGAGATATCTTCCTCAAAGGATATTTAGGGTGATTTCAAGTCTTCATAATTACTTCTGTTAATTATGTAGATTTTGCCCCAGAATTGTAACATTTAAAACCAAACTAAAATCAGGAAAGGAGCAAATATAAGAAAATGTTATCTGAATAGCAGATATCCTTGATTGGTAAAAAACCAAATTTCTTTTAAAATTCTATCCCTCACTTCGTTTCAGTAAAATGTCACAAAAACTACAATGACAGGGGCTAAAAATATAATTGGTAGTATAGTAATTCCCTGTGCCACAAAGAATAATTAACATCTGAGTTAAAGCACTTTATATAAAACAAAATACCTATTTTTTTTGGGGGGGGGGCACTGTTCTCCAAAGGCACTGCACTGCCAGGTTAACACACCCTATCTCCCTGCTGTAAAAACCCACTTAATATGTTGTCCTTGGATAGAGGATATATGTTAAACTGACAAGATATGTACACTTGATCTTAGTCAACAGATATGTACACTTGATCTTAGTCACAAGGCCGAGAAGCAATGTACCTTTTATTAGTGGGACTACTGAACACCAGGTAATCTGCTTGACCTTTTAATCACCCTATAACACAGATATTATTAAATAATTCCAAGTAAGGAAGTAACATGCTTTTCCCTAAACATAGGGAACTGGGATAAAGTTGGAACCATGCCAGTAAGCCTGAGCTCTAAATTCACTGAATTGATACATCAAGGATTAGTGATAGGTAAGAGACATAAAACAAAAAAATGGCTGGATGCTTATTTCAACTAGAGGTTTTTTAAAAATCCAGGTTTTCTTTCTTTTTTTTAAAAAAAGACAATCTCTCACAGGTGTGTATAACCTCAGCCAGGTTGTCAATCTGAGGTTCAGATTGAATACTGTGGTT